AACGTATAACAGCGAGTGATTCAACGTTTGGTGAAAAAGCCGCCGCAACCGCTGTATGAGCAGCCATGAAAGCAAAAACGAAATTAGGGATGGGTATGAAAAGAAGAAAGAAAACGAAAAGGAAGAGACTACTTCCGGTAACGAAACGTGGAGGTATCCTACCGATTTTACCAATGTTAGGTGCGCTCGGATCTTTGATTGGTGGAGCGGCGAGCGTAGCGAGAGCTGTGAGCGATCGCAAGGCCGCTCGACGTCAGTCGGAGGGTCGTAGACTGTATCTAACGCCCTACAAACACGGTGGTAGCGTGAGAAAGAGAAAAAAGGCAAGAGGTAAAAAAAAACATCGTGGAAGGAAATGTTAGAGGCTCTTAAGCCCATTCTACATTGGTCGTATCGTAGCATCGTGGTATCGCAGAATCGTGGTGTCGCAAGTGCTTGCGATTCTGACTGTCTATATTGCGTCATACATGTGACTCGATCGACCAATCTGGAATAAGAATGACAGTAGTGCGCAGACATACTTCATACTTCGTTTGAAAATGGAAGAACAAATTGTAATGAAAAATTATATGCTTTTATTAATATTGACTACAATATTTTCTTGTACATTTTATGTGATTAAGCGTCGACGTCGTATGATTCGTCGAAGGTGGTGAATCAGACCACTAAACAGGCGTCGTAATGTAAAAGGATTCCATTTATCATTATTTCGTGAGCTTTAAAACCACTGACGAAGAATTCTTTTCGTTTATTAGAATGTTATCGTATCAATTTGATGATTTACTTCAAAAAATTGAGCCATTTCTTCCACGTGGTGATTTGCGACGTCCTTTACCATCAGAATTAAAACTTGCATTAACTCTAAAGTAATGTATATAACATGTTATAGTAAATAGATATAGATAATGTAACACACACACGCACACGCGCACACACACACACACACACACACACACACATTCATTTAGTATATTATTTTAAAATATTAATAATAAATTTGTATAATTTTATTAATTTATAAATTAATAAAAATATTAATATAAATAAATATACATATATTATATAATATATATAATTAAAAGAATCTTTATATATACATTGTATCTCTTTGGAAAATTACTTTGGTAATATATTTGTTTGGTAATAAAAGTTTTTTAGCACATGGTGATAGTGCTCGTTCTAAATCTTGGGAATTCAGAATTGGTCGATCTACCGTATACAAAATTGTTCAAGAAGTATGTGAAGCAATATGGAAAGCTCTCCAACCTATAGTGCTTCCGCAACAAGATTTATTTACTTGGAAACAATCAGTTAAAGATTTTTATGAGGAATGGCAGTTTCCAAATTGTATCGATGCGCTTGATGGCAAGCACATTCGCATTAAAGCACCACCAAATTCTGGATCAAAATATTTTTGTTATAAAAAATTCTTCAGTATAGTTTTGATGGCAATATGCAACCACAAGTATCGTTTTCTGTGGGTAGATATCGGTCAATTTGGTATGTGATTACAAAATATGTTTATAATTTATATGTATATAAATTTATATATTTCCTAAAGCACTTTTTAAAGAAATAAAAGATACATATTAATAAATAATTTTGTTATGACAAATATTTGAATTTATTTTGAAGGATCTATTAGTGATGATGGCGTATGGAGTGAGACTGAGCTTGGAAGATGTGTGGGACAAGAAAGTTTTAATATACCATCACCATGTGAATTGCCTGGTACAAATATTAAAATTAATCATGTCCTTGTCGCTGATGAGGCATTTCCTTTAGGTATGAACTTGTTAAAACCATATTCGCAAAAGTTCCTTGCTAATGGTGGTGAAGATGCTGATAAAGCTCGTGTATTTAATTACCGTCTATCAAGAGCACGAAGAATTATTGAAAATGCATTTGGTATACTAGCATCTAGATGGCAAATTCTTCTGTAATTTTCATCCTGAAAATGTGAATCACATAATTAAAGCATTAATATGTTTGCATAATTTCATCATGGACGATGAAACACAGAAACCTGCTTGTACAAGGCTTTACTGTCCTCCGAATTTTATAGACAGGGAGAATGAAAATCATGAAATCATGGAAGGTGCCTGGCGAGGCCTGGGAGATAACTCAATACTTTATAAAGACCTTGTTAATATGAAAGGTAATAGTGGAACAAATGCTGCAAAAGCTCAAAGAAACGTATTTCGTGAATATTTTGTGTCGGAAGCTGGATGCAATCAGGTCCCATGGCAATTTCAATCAGCACTAAGAGGATATTGTATTAATATATAACTGCTTTGTTCACAAATTTAATTTAATGAAATGGTTGTGTTGATTCTTCATTTTTATATTTTATTAAATTGTAAATCAATGATTTATTACGTATTAATTTTTTTTCAATTAGTTTAATTTCAATGATTAATTTCAAATTACATTTGCATGAGATTACAGTACTATTTATACATTTTTCACAATTTTTACCATGTACAATATGTTGCAAAGAAAATTTATTCTTCAGTACTTATGTAAATCATATATATGTGACTATTTCTTTTATATAAAACATGTTATTAATTTTCCTTTGTTTGAACATATAAGTAAATATTAAGTTGGAAATATGTTTGTACAATTAATTTTTTTCCTATTATAAATACAATGTACATATACAACTATCTTATACGATATTATATCAACACAGTGTACATATTTTATTTTGTATGATAGGGAAGTCATAATAAAAAATAAAGGATGTATTTTTTGGTATATAAATTTTTATTTCTTAATAATGCACTTTGACATATACTTCTGGTATATCACAATCATATTCAGTCTACAATACATCAAGTTTCCCTAAATGTCTAAAGTTAAAATAAAACTTTTCATTCATATCTTGTTACTCTTTTCATTAATAAAATTAAACAAAATTTTATGATTAAATATTAAGAACACATAGAACTTTGAACTTAAATAATCTTCAAATAAAATTATTGACTTATCAGTTCTCTCTCTTTCACAGTCAACTAAATATAAAAGGAACATAACATACAAGTAAATTTAAAATAATCATTGGTAAAATAACAATATAACACTTATTATTTTTTAAGCTCATTCATACTTTTTCAAACTTCTTCACGATAGAAAGTAATTCAATTAAACATGTTAATCGGGAAATCAGGGGGACTCTTCCTAGGCAACCTTTTAAAACTTGAACAAACGCTTCAATTTCTGGATTCAATGTTTCTAACAGCTTATCAGAACCTTGACTTGTGTCTTGTTTTTGACTGTTGCTAGTAGTAGTTAATGTCGCGCTCACAGTTCGCATAGAAGCTGCCATATCTTTGCGCAATTTAATATCTTCATCATCTTTAACTTTTTTTTTCTTATAGAAACCATCAAGAGAAGGTGTTTCTAATTTTATTTTTTTCCGTAGTAGTATTTCTTCTGCCTTCGGAGATATAGATACATTTACATCTGACGTATCTGCAAAATAAAAAATGCTTACAAAAAAATAGATATTATCCAATATTTTGTAGAATTGCTCAATATTTTGTAATATATTGTGTAATATATTAATAACAAATATGCACCTATCTGACAATCATAAGATGAATCATAAGATGAATCATTATAAGTAGAATATTTTAACAATTGAGACTCCTGTAGAGAAGAACAATCATCAACTAATAATTCTGATTCATTTTGTTGCAGTGTAGAGCTCATTGTATGGCTTGAAAGTTGGCTAATTGGAATATTTTCTTTTAATGGATTTTGGAATGTTTTCTGTACTGATAGAACAAATTTCTCCAACTTGTATCTACCTTTTACAGTGTTTACAGATTTCTTTGGATCATTTGTCAAAATCACAAAATTAGATGTTGTGCTACAAAAATGAATAACACAACAGCAATGTAAAATTAAATCATTTTTATATATTAAATTGATTATCAAGAAAGATCTTGCAGACTTACTTCCTTGGTTTTATTGCATCTTTGAGAAATAATAACTCGTTGTACAGAGGCCAACTAGGTATATATACAGGATGATTACCTGCAGACCCTGATTTGGGCTGACTTTGTACAACTTTTTTATAAAGACGTCCAAACGTTGATCTCAAATTACTAAATTTTTTCTGAGCATCAAGTCCTGCGAATAACAGTGATTAGGATATTAACCTCAATAATTGTGAAACTTATGTCTGAAGAAAGAAACTTACCTGACAAAGGAGTGCTTAAGTTCTGTCCTATCATAGACCAAACCAAATTTTTTTCCTCAATTTTGTTGTATATTTTGAGACTATTATTCCAAAGACCAGGGTTCGATCTAACAAGTTTTATTAATTCCAGGTCATCAGGACTCGCATCATATTGTTATACTCGTGCCTTCTCGACACCCGTGCTCCTGGCAGTCGAATGCGTCGCCAGGCAACGAACGCAGTAGTTGTCTAATAAGACAACTACGATTTAGATATGAGCGATCGTCGGGTTCGGACGTACTGCTCTATCCTGTGCCGTCGCGGTGCTATATTTACGTGTGTATCTCTCTGGTTAATAAACGTTCGTATTTCTTACGACCGCCTCATTTATTTCCGAGATCCGGCTCCGCTGG